AAGTTTTGGTATTTTAATATGTTGGGAATACTTTGGTAAATTTTGGGAAAAACTCTAGTTGAATTATTGGATTGATTTGTATAAGTAATTCATGGAATTGGGAAAAGATGGTTAAATTCATGGAATTGGGGAATTTATTGATTAAATGGCATAATTTGATAATTTGTATCATTTGTCTATTGAATTGTGGACATTGTTATTTTCAGTTTAGCAATAACTGTTTTGGGCTATCGGTGGAGGATAGTCGTGATTGTTGTAGACATTGCATGTGGATTAGGAATAACTGGAACTAATCACATTGGTTAAGTCATTAATTTTGACTATTGCATTGATACAGAAAATATGTGTATTGATTGAGCATTGCATTTGCATACATTGTTTTGTGTGTGGGAGGAGATAGGGGTTGTACTCCACGGTTTAGGGGAAGATAGGGGATGGACCTCTAAATCGGATTTTGTTTGGGAGGAGATAGGGGATGGACTCCATTAGCATCACTTTTATGTGTGCTTATTTATATAGAAGTGTTTTATTGATACAGCACTAAAATGTGTATCAATCTGGAAGTCTGAAGTGTTTTGATTTATTTGAGCTTGAGTCTCATTTGTTTGTTGATATTGGAAGGATGTGAATACGATATATGTAATTCACTGTTGTAAGTTTGGCCAGGTTCTGAGCCATGTTGATAAAACTGTGAAGTAAAACGTATTTTAGACAATAGTGTCATGAGACTGTAAAATGAAGTAATTGATTATCCTGGTTAACCATCTGTTGAATGCTATTGCTTTATTCGTTACTTATATGTGGTTTAGTATATCTCTACTGGGCTGTGGGTCACCCTTTATGGGATCATCATTTACAGGTTCAGGGGATAAGCTACCTCCAAGGACTTAGCTTGGAAGGACTTGGATTCTGAAGACTATTTTCCTGTTGTTTGCTTTTATTTGTTAGTACATGTAAACACTCAAGCCTAGGGCTTTCCTTGTATTGAGTTAGAACTCGTGTTTTTGTATTCAAGTGTTGGCTTGGAAAGATGTAAGCCTGTAGGGCATTCTATTCGATTATTTAGTCATACTCTGATGAATGAATTAATAAAATGTCTTCTTTAAATAATGCATGTCGATGTTATATAATGGGTTAATTTTGAGGGCGTTACACATCGCTACCACCAGCCAATCCCACCGGTAAGCCCGCTTTCCATTGCTTTTGTTGTCCCTCTACATCCTCTCTTGCTTCCTACCATCGTGCCTTAATCTCTCTCTCTCTCTCTCTCTCTCTCTCTCTCTCTCCCTCTCTTAGCCAGGCATATGTTAATTTCTAGATTTGATAATTCGAGGAGTATTTGTTGGTACTTCACATTTATGTTTCTTTGATCAATTGCAAATTCAGTTAAACACACAATATATTTATGTTGGATGTACACATGAATTATTGGAAGAAGCGGACGGATGCGGATTGATTTTCTTCAATCCGCCAATCTGGCGGACGAATGGCGGATTGGAGGTTCCGTGGCCGCAACCGACCCGCGCCCACCCCTACCTGTTGGATCAAGGAACTTTGGAACTCTAAAAAAAAAAAATTGCAAATTCACACAAGAAAAAGTAAAATGTGACCAATCAATTAACTAATTGACAAACTTCTTCTCAAGAATTTATAAGAATTTGTGTTATTAATGAGTGTTCTAAATTTTTTTTAATAAAATTTAAAATAATTATATAGTTTTTACTTCACATATCATTATGAAGAATGTTAATTGAATTTTTTTTTTATTCTAATCTACTCCAAATGAAGAATAATGCTATATGCACCAATTAGTGTACCAACTAATGTACCAATTGATGATGTGACATAATTTAAGAGATTTTTGGTATTTATAATGTAATTAATGAGTGGGATCAATAATAATGTCATAACTTGTAACGTCCCCAGCACCAAGTGATGTTGTCCGCTTTAGGCCGAGTTTTTGCCGAAGCATCACCTCAGCTCCTCACGGTTTTGTTTTCCCCTGGAAAAGGCCTCACTTGGGGGAGGGAGGTTCGTAGGCTTGTAAGGCACTGCCTCTCCTCCAACCTAATCGATGTGGGATTCGCCTTAAGGAGCAGTACGCCAGGGCGCACTCTCCCCCTTATGGACTCAGCGTCCTCACTGAGGAACGCTGAGGTTTGCCCCACCACCGACACTAGCTCTAATACCAATGTAACGTCCCCAGCACCAAGTGATATTGTCCGCTTTGGGTTGGGTTATTGCCGAAGCATCACCTCGGCTCCTCATGGTTTTGTTTTCCTCTGGAAAAGGCCTCACTTGGGGGAGGGAGGTTCGTAGGCTTATAAGGCACTACCTCTCCTCCAACCTAATCGATGTGGGATTCGCCTTAAGGAGCTGTATGCCAGGACGCACTCTCCTCCTTATGGACTCAGCGTCCTCGCTGAGGAACGCCGAGGTTTGCCCCACCACCGACACTGGCTCTGATACCACTTTAACGTCCCCAGCACCAAGTGATATTGTTCGCTTTAGGCCGGGTTATTGCCGAAGCATCACCTCGGCTCCTCATGGTTTTGTTTTCCCCTGGAAAAGGCCTCACTTGGGGGAGGGAGGTTCGTAGGCTTATAAGGCACTACCTCTCCTCCAACCTAATCGATGTGGGATTCGCCTTAAGGAGCAGTATGCTAGGGCGCACTCTCCCCCTTATGGACTCAGCGTTCTCGCTGAGGAACGCCAAGGTTTGCCCCATCACCGACACTGGCTCTGATACCAATGTAACGTCCCCAGCACCAAGTGATATTGTCCGCTTTAGGCCGGGTTATTGCCGAAGCATCACATCGGCTCCTCATGGTTTTGTTTTCCCCTGGAAAAGGCCTCACTTGGGGGAGGGAGGTTCATAGGCTTATAAGGCACTACCTCTCCTCCAACCTAATCGATGTGGGATTCGCCTTAAGGAGCAGTATGCCAGGATGCACTCTCCCCCTTATGGACTCAGCGTCCTCGCTAAGGAACGCCGAGGTTTGCCCCACCACCGACACTGGCTCTGATACCACTGTAACGTCCCCAGTACCAAGTGATATTGTCCGCTTTAGGCCGGGTTATTGCCGAAGCATCACCTCGGCTCCTCACGGTTTTGTTTTTCCCCTGGAAAAGGCCTCACTTGGGGGAGGGAGGTTCGTAGGCTTATAAAAATTCCATGACCATATTCTCAAAATCATACTACTAGAAAGTTCCATTCTTGTTTTCTTACTACTAAATACAAAAGTAGCAGTGATAGAAAATTTTAGTAAGCTAAGAAATCCATTTATATATAACATTTTTTTCGTAAGCTAGGATTCAAATTCAACACCCCAATCCATCATTTCTTTCTCTCTTTAGAAAGAGTGAATCCACGAAGATTTTTTTTCTGTTTTTGGCTATGATTGATCCATATAGGTTTTGATTACCATATGTAACGCCCTCAAAATAAACCCATAAATCATCCAACAATAGCATGCTTAGACACAAGAAAATAAAGCATAAATATATTCCATCAGAGTAATCATTACAAAATGTATTACATGTTGACAACGAAAGTAAATGCCCTAAGGGCTTACAAATTTCCAAGTCAACACTTGGTTACAAAAAGAGAGTACTAAATCTATACACAGAAATCCCTTGGCTTGATATACATGTAATACATCAAAAGAGAACAAAACAACAGAAACAGTCTGTCTGCCTCTAACCTCCCAACCTATGTCCTTGGAGGTAGCATGCTACTTGTACCTGAAAATGATGTCCCATAAAGGGTGAGCTACAGCCCAGTAAACAGAACAATTGTAACACTTTCGGGAGAAGAAACAATGGTTTTGAGGAACTAGATCAAGTTCATAGAACTTCCTTTGCACACTCACAACCTATCATCAACCCTCTTCTTGGTGGATTGAATCACCTAAAACAACCACAACCCATCAATCCTAATGGCAATCCCACACCCTTTGGTTTTGTTCTTCGTGGATTCAATCACCAAAAACAAGAACCACCACCACCACATCCCCAATCCATGAACCCTAATATCATCCACACCACACCCTCCAGTTCTGTTTTTGGCAATTCTAGTAAACTAAAAACACACTCCATGACGAACCCTAATATCATTGATCCAGAAGAAGAGCAAAAACCACAACCCATCAACCCTAATATCATGGACAAAGAAGATGAAGCAGAACAAAACCCACAACTCATCAACACTCTCATGGAGCTCCTCCTCGTAGCTCGAGGTTTTTTAGAATCTGTTCTGATCTTTTCGGGTGTAGTTTCACTCTCATGGAGCTCCTCCTTGTAGCTCGAGGTTTTCCCTGCCAATTGTTGGTCATCCCCACTAATATAGCTAATGCCCTCATCAGAAATAACAAAAGCACCAGAATCTCCATTGCAGTGATTAAAATCACCAGATCCACTTAGCACCATAACGTCCTTGCCCAAGTGATTCCCAACTCGTTCCTTAAAAGTAGGAGACGAAGAACTACTGCACTTAGAATGAGACTTTCCCACATCTTTTGTCCTCGCACCATTTTGATTAAGAAAACCAGGTTTTGCAAATCCACTAATGACTTTATTAGGATTGTAAGATGCACATTCAGCTAGTTCTGAAGGAGCTTTTGCTTTCCCACCTCTCTTTGGAGAATTGTTACCAGAATGCTTTCTGAGAAAACCTGGAGGAAACAGAGGCTTCAACCTTCCTTCAGAAGAATTTCTTCTAGCCAACTTCCCTGTGGCATCCTTAGTACTGCTAGATGATGGCAAGCCCTTTCCAGTCTCTATTTTTGCTTGCTCACCGTTGCAATCAACAGGACTAATCTCATCAAGAAGTTCACCTGAGCTTAAATTACCAACAGGAGCATCATGAGAAATTTTTCCTTCCTCACAGACACCATTCTGTATTGGCTGAGCGCTTTCACTTGAAGATTCAGTCAACCTTTCAGTACTACTTCTCTCAGCTGTATTCTCATCAACAGCAGAATGAGGAAAGTCTGATTCAAAATTCTGAGAATAAGCTTCAGGCTTAACCATCTCACTTAGAGAAGAACCAACCGCAGAGACTAATCTATTAGCATGTAGAACAGGAGAAGCGGTTTCTTCAATCGCATGAGAATACCCATTGCCATGTACTTCAATATCCTGTGGAACAGATGAACTTGACTCAGAATCTACCATTTCAATGTCCTCTCTCATATCTTCAGAATTAGTTCTCTCCTTTTCGCAAGTAGAAACTTTTCTTGTGAGTCGCTATCAGATGACAAGGAACCAGAAGTACATATGCCATTAATTGACTCGGCTGTAGTAAGGAATTCAACTGATTGTTTGACATGGGGCTCCCCTTCTTGAACTGTTTGCTGCTTCCCCTTAGTTAAAGATTCAATTGGCTTCAGACATGATGGTCGGGCACAAACCCTAAAAGCAACAGCAAACAAGATCATTTATATATACATATTATTAGGTATTCAACAAAATTGATATTGCCCAAGATTAGTCTATATGCATAATTTTTGTGAGAGGCCTCATGCTTTTGTGGGCTTAAAAATATGTTGTAACAATTTTCAATATCTTGGGGTCATTGCAATAACTTTTAGCCGGAGTGGACGGTCCAGTGGTTGATCTCCTCCAGGCTCTAGCAGGAATTCATGGGCAGCCTTTGCAGTCCATTATCATAACTAGAATCCAATTACAGAAACAACCCCAATTTAATCGGCATATTAGCCCCTTAAGAGTGTGCTTAGTGTGCAAGTGTTAAATATAGGGTTTTGTTGTCAGAGTTTTCAAATAGATGCTATGAAGTGCCGAATCATTGAATGAATTTCACATATGATTCTCCCTAACCAGAAAAATCAACCAAGTCTTTTTAAGGCAACAAGCTTTGTAGTACTAATAACAGTCTATTTGTATGGGATGATTTGGAGAGAAAAGAAAAGATAATCCCTTATAACCTACTTTTTGAATCTCCCCAAAAGTGGAGAGATTTGAAGAAGCTTCAAAAGTCAAGCTACAGGAAAGGATCGCACATATAAATGGATAAAATAAAAAATAAGTATCGTGCTATTTTCAAGAAGCCTTATTTATAATATCGCCTATAATTTAAATCAAATTTTGGCAAGTTTTGTTGTCAAAGAAGTCACTAAAAAAAGGTTGAATATGCAATGAATGTAATCTTTTTAAATGATATGTTTAAGATAATGATCAAGAAAAAAAAAATCATATAGTAATACCAGTGTTATATCTCTCTTTTATTCCCCATTCTTGCATGTTTTGTTAGCCTACCATGCTTTTGTTTTTGGCCATTTTACAGGCCTAGAGATGGTCTTATTTTGGCCTATACTTCATGTTTCATGATAGCATACTCAATCGATTAGTTTTAGTTTGCCTAATCATCATGCATTGTCTACAACAATCAAGACTATCCTCCACCGATAGCCCAAAGCAGTTATTTCTAAACCGAAAATAAATGCACCAAATGGATAAAATATCAACATTTCAACTAGGTGAGTGATAAATGATCCAATTACACCCTTTAATCCCCTACGTTCCCAATTCCAACATTCTCAATTCAACTTCTCATTTCTAATTAATTTCACAAATTAATTCATCAATGTAATTAGGGCATTTCCCATAATTAACAAAACAACCCTAAGGTTCCATTTCTATCAATAACCCAACATTTATCTCATTTCTCCATGCTAAACATGCATATAGGTTTATATAAATAAAACCCCATCTTTTGTAAAATTACACAAAGACCCAAACTTTCTCAAAATTACCCAACAATCCCCAACATATCAAAATGTTAAAATTTAAAGACAAAGCTCATAAGGAGGAGTAGGATATCCCTACCTCGAAGTTAGAGCTCAAAAGGAGAAGAAGACCAAAACCAAAGTGCTCTAAACTCTAAACTTTTCGGATCAAAACGAAGCCCTCGACGATCGACACGCTTTTTACAAAGGCTGAAGGATAGGAGAACACTTTAACTAGATCAAACCCTAGAGAGAAGGGAAATCCTAGAGAGAGAGGCTCTAAAAAGTGTTTTTAGAAAGTAAGAGAGAGAGAGTGAATGTAAAAAGTGATTCAAAAATGCCCAGCTGCCCACTGATATACGACACTCCCGCTCGAGCGGAGAATAGAACGCTTGAGGGTCAAGCACAAAAATCTAGACACGCTCGAGCGCAAGAAGGCCCGCTCAAGCTCCAAGACACAAGAATAAAATACATCCGCTCGAGCGCAAAAACCAGTCCGCTCGAGCGTAGATTTCCCCCTCCTAGTACTTTCACAGACAAAGCACTACCCGCTCGAGCGTGAAAAACACACCTGCAGAAGTTTTGCAAGGACACGAGATACTGGGAGTGTGTAAATCCTGCTCGAGCACAAGAAGGCCTGCTCAAGCGGACAACCAAAAACCAAAACTCCACTCGAGCACATAATGACCTGCTCGAGTGTAACACCAAAAACCTGGGCAACTACACTTGAGACCAAAACTCAACCTACCTGTTCGAAACACGCCCAACACATCCTAAAACTCAAATATATTGAATTAAAGGATGATAACAAGATAAACAACCACCAACTCCACGGAACCAAAGCCCGGAATACAACAATTACACAGAGGGAAAACCGGAATCGCTATACCATAAATAAGTAGTAAACAAACTAGATGAGTTGTTTTCTTCTCACCCACCTCCTCTTCTCTCTCGTCTTATACACACACATGCAATCATAGGAAAGGCACACATAGTTCATCGCTTAGTGAAGTTGAAGGAAATCCCCACTTTATTCTTCATCACTAAAAATGGATGAAAATTGGGATTTGTGGGCTGTGGTGAGAAGTTGCTACACTCCTGCCACCACATCCGCTTCTGCCACTGCCACCAAGTATGTTACCCCACTAGAATACCCCATACCTATCTCAGTTTTTATGGTTTTTGAACAGAACAATTGTAACGCTTTCGGGAGAAGAAACAATGGTTTTGAGGAACTAGATCAAGTTTACAGAACTTCCTTTGCACACTCACAACCTATCATCAACCCTCTTCTTGGTGGATTGAATCACCTAAAACAACCACAACCCATCAATCCTAATGGCAATCCCACACCCTTTGGTTCTGTTCTTAGTGGATTCAATCACCAAAAACAAGAACCACCACCACCACATCCCCAACCCATGAACCCTAATATTATCCACACCACACCCTCCAGTTTTGTTTTTGGCAATTCTAGTAAACTAAAAACACACTCCATGACGAACCCTAATATCATTGATCCAGAAGAAGAGCAAAAACCACAACCCATCAACCCTAATATCATGGACAAAGAAGACGAAGCAGAACAAAATCCACAACTCATCAACACTAGTACAGTTCTTCTACTTGCACAAAAAGCACTAGACACAACCATCTCACATGGGTGTGAGATACACAAAAAGGCTGAACTCACCTTACGTGAGAGAGTTGTATATAATACTATGATTGGTAATATGACCACCGAGCCCTCTATTTTTGTTCTTGGTGAGTCTAGTAACCAACAACCACCACCACCACCACCAACAAAGAACCAACACTATTGGAAACATCCACAACCACCACCAGCAAAACCAAATATATTACCAGAGCAATGTGGGTATTAGTATCAGAGGAAGAGGAGTCAGAGAACAGCAGCAGTGGAGGTGGATGCTGAAAACCTCTCAGAGGTGGATCCATGGAACTGGCGTAAATACGGAAGAAAACCCATCAAGACATCGCCATACCTGCGAAACTACTACAAGTGTAGTAGTGAAGGAAACAAGTGCGAAGCAAAGAAATATGTGGAGAAGAGTCTGGAAGATCCAGAGAAATTCATGGTGTCCTACAGTGGCAAGCATCACCATTCTCCTCTACGCCGCCGCAATACTCTCTCCTGCACTACACGATTGAAATCATCCACCACCACCAAGAAAGCTTCATGTTCAAACGAGGATGCAGTGCATGACAATGTTACGATAGAGGTGGAAGATGATGATGACAAGGAGGGCATATTGAATTCGGAAAATGTTTTCATGGGTCTTCAAGATTTGGTTGACAAGGAAGGTTGACATAGGTTGATTTCCCAAGCTTGCTTTTTTAGTAACTAAATTTTCTTCATTCTTTTTTTTTTTTTTTTGGGTTCGATGTCGAGTTGAATTTTTGTCAGTTCAAGGACTCGTTTGAGATTATTTCATAAATCATAATAGAAGTTGGTAGTTTTTGATTAACTGGAGAATGGAAAAGAATAATCATTTAGTCTCACTAAGTTTTGGAGAAGATAAAATAAATAAAATATTTTTTGGTGCGCATGCTGCAATATTCTCCTCATATTTTTTGTTCTAATTCTGTGTACCTAGCATTTTTATAAAAACAACATAATAATATTAGAAACGAACAAAACACAACAAAAATGGAAGAAAAAAACAAATCATTCTCTCTACTATAACTCACATTCCTGTCCACATATATATATATATATATATATCTATATTTAATAGCACTGCTCTTTAATTCTGTTCCTCTTCTGCTTCTCTTTGTGGGTACAAGTCCATAAGGATGAACCCTGCAATCCCTAGTTTATAACTCTCCATTGTCGAACTCAAGACTAAAGCACAAATATATACATACATTATATACACATAATATACATCGAGATAAAAAGACAAATGGGAAGAGAGAGACGGAAATTTTTAGCAGTTCTGGGTAAATCTTAATGTTGGTGGGATGTTAAATCATGTATCGTTTGTTACATCTCTCTTTAGCCCAAATCATCAATAGATTGGCCTCGTAACAAACATTTAAGAGAAGCGCAAAAGTTTAAAATGAGAATGCAAACTATGATTCAGCAATGTTCTTCTATTTAAAAAAGAAACTTCTCTCTCGCTAGCTAGCTAGCTACACACAATTTGTGTCTTTGCATTTTCTCACTTTTAGGAGTTATTATAACTAAAAATAGTACAAGAGCAGAGCATCCAAAGGTTTGTAAATAGTGAAACCTCGGACAAAAATTCCCAACTTGACCATTTGGCCATGGGATGATCATTCATGATTCAACAATTATGAACAAATATATCACGTGAAGAAAAGAATCGCACCTTTAAACTATTACCATGACCCATCATCATTGTCCATTATTCTAGCTCTTCCATTTCCATCTCCATAATCTTAAGAAAACCGCTACCAGAACCATCCAATCTAAGCACTGAAACAATCTGCCCCTTCCTTGCCACTAACCTCATTTACGTATCAACAACAATTTCATTGGGTATGGGGACTACTACCATCAGTTTTGCGTTACTTTGCCTTTTGGTCAAGGATTGCAAAATTTTACTTTTCAAGATTTAAGTCTCAAATGCAAATCCATTGATAGCGTAGATATAGCGATCCCGGGTTTACCTTGTTGTACAGTGATCCAGACATGTGTCCGTGGATGTTGGTAGTTGTTTATTATCTAGTTTGCATCCTCTTTACTTTGTTTATTGAGTTATAGGATGTGTTGGGCAGAGGTTTTTTAGAATCTGTTCTGATCTTTTCGGGTGTAGTTTCACTCTCATGGAGCTCCTCCTTGTAGCTCGAGGTTTTCCTTGCCAATTGTTGGTCATCCCCACTAATATAGCTAATGCCCTCATCAGAAATAACAAAAGCACCAGAATCTCATCAGAAATAACAAAAGCACCAGAATCTCCATTGCAGTGATTAAAATCACCAGATCCACTAAGCACCATAATGCCCTTGTCCAAGTGATTCCCAAGTCGTTCCTCAAAAGTAGGAGACGAAGAACTACTGCACTTAGAATGAGACTTTCCCACATCTTTTGTCCTCGCACCTTTTTGATTAAGAAAACCAGGTTTTGCAAATCCACTAATACAACTTTATTAGGATTGTAAGAAGATGCATATTCAGCTAGTTCTGAAGGAGCTTTTGCTTTCCCACCTCTCTTTGGAGAAGTGTTGCCAGAATGCTTTCTGAGAAAACCTGGAGGAAACAGAGGCTTCAACTTTCCTTCAGAAGAATTTCTTCTAGCCAACTTCCCTGTGGCATCCTTAGTACTGCTAGATGATGGCAAGCCCTTTCCAGTCTCCATTTTTGCCTGCTCACCGTTACAATCAACAGGACTAATCTCATCAAGAAGTTCACCTGAGCTTAAATTACCAACAGGAGCATCATGAGAAATTTTTCCCTCCTCACAGACACCATTCTGTATTGGCTGAGCGCTTTCACTTGAAGATTCAGTCACCTTTCGACACTACTTCTCTCAGTCGTATTCTCATCAACAGCAGAATGAGGAAAGTCTGATTCAGAATTCTGAGAATAAGCTTCAGGTTTAACCATCTCACTTAGAGAAGAATCAACTGCAGAGACTAATCTATTAGCATGTACAACAAGAGAAGCGATTTCTTCAATCGCATGAGAATACCCACTGCCATGTACTTTAATATCCTGTGGAACAGATGAACTTGACTCAGAGTCTACCATTTCAATGTCCTCTCTCACATCTTCAGAATTAGTTCTCTCATTTTCGCAAGTAGAAACTTTTTCTTGTGAGTCGCTATCAGATGACAAGGAACTAGAAGTACATATGGCTGTAGTGAGGAATTCAACTGATTGTTTGACATGGGGCTCCCCTTCTTGAACTGTTTGCTGCTTCCCCCTAGTTAAAGATTCAATTGGCTTCAGACATGATGGTCGAGCACAGACCCTGAAAGCAACAGCAAACAAGATCATTTATATATACATATTATTAGGTATTTAACAAAATTGATATTGCCCAAGATTAGTCTATATGCATAATTTTTGCGAGAGGCCTCATGCTTTTGTGGGCTTAAAAATATGTTGTAACAATTTTCAATATCTTGGGGTCATTGCAATAACTTTTAGCCGGAGTGGACGGTCCAGTGGTTGATCTCCTCCAGGCTCTAGCAGGAATTCATGGGCAGCCTTTGCAGTCCATTATCATAACTAGAATCCAATTACAGAAACAACCCCAATTTAATCGGCATATTAGCCCCTTAAGAGTGTGCTTAGTGTGCAAGTGTTAAATATAGGGTTTTGTTATCAGAGTTTTCAAATAGATGCTATGAAGTGCCGAATCATTGAATGAATTTCACATATGATTCTCCCTAACCAGAAAAATCAACCAAGTCTTTTTAAGGCAACAAGCTTTGTAGTACTAATAACAGTCTATTTGTATGGGATGATTTGGAGAGAAAATAAAAGATAATCCCTTATAACCTACTCTTTGAATCTCCCCAAAAGTGGAGAGATTTGAAGAAGCCTCAAAAGTCAAGCTACAGGAAACGATCGCACATATAAATGGATAAAATAAAAAATGAGTATCGTGCTGTTTTCAAGAAGCCTTATTTATAATATTGCCTATAATTTAAATCAAAATTTGGCAAGTTTTGTTGTCAAAGAAGTCACTAAAAAAAGGTTGAATATGCAATGAATGCAATCTTTTTAAATGATATGTTTAAGATAATGATCAAGAAAAAAAAGTTTATATAGTAATACCAGGATGAGGGTCATATTAAATAGCATGTGAAGCGATTTTAAGATATAAGAAAGTAGTTTACTTAACAGGAGAAAAAATAAAGTATAAGAAAGTAATGACTAAATAAGAAAGTATTTTAACTTGTATTAGGATTAACACAATTTCATTAATGAATGAGAGAAGCCATAAGGCGCAAAGGAGAAAGCAATGAGCTGTCTTTCACCATTGGTGATAGGTCTGCTCCTCATCTACTTTTTCCTCATCAAGGAGATGTAGGGTTAGAGGTTGTTACAACTTAGCCTTTTCCTCAAAAGAGGGCTTGGCCATATGTTTCAAATCACATTTTAAGACATTATTCCACGTTAATCATGAACATGTGTATCCACTGAATTTTAGGTGATAGGCCATCCTTGAGTAACAAAATGTATGACAATTACTCTTATATTGAAATTGACAAGTCACTAATAGCAGGGAAAGTAAGAAGATTAGCTACCTGCTATACAACAGCATATAAGCCCCCTGCGAGAGCACCTCTTCCAAATCAACCCTCATGACCTAAAAAAAAAAAAATTGTGAATCAAGTTAGATGAAACTACAAATTCAAGTAGACTAACATAAACAATACACGTTTCAACAAGACCACATAAATATTGCATTTTCTACTGATGTTTGTCTTGACCAGAATCAATTATGTCCCATATTTTTGCATAATGAACAGAGATTTACAAACTAAATGCGCACTGACAATGAACCAGCAGTAAAATTAAAAGAGTATGATACAGACGAGAGAGGAAACTTCCATGGAGGACATTCTCAAAATACAATGGGATTTTTTTCGAAAAAGTGAGATCACCAAGTCTTACACTCGGTGTTATCAGATAGATGCCTTGGCGAATGGATGTCAACACACACACACACACACACACACACACACACACATATATATATATAGAGTTTAACATGGAGTAACTGGACAGAAATATATTCACATATGGGACACATGCTCATTTGTACATGTGGTACTGGTCCATTTTCCCCACTTTTTTTTTTCTTTTTGGGTCCCTGGGTACACACAGAGAGAGAGAGAGAGAGAGCTATTTCTACCTTGCAGTCATCAATCCTGTACCATTTTCCACAAAAATCCTTTGTATAACAAATGTAATGGCCGAAAAATGATGCATTTAGCATGTCAATATGGATAACCACTGCATATAGCTTGTAAACATCGTTACCATCTCCTACTTCACTCATGTAAGGGCTAAGATCTAAAGTTTCAGGGAAAGTCACCCTCTTGTTAAGTGTTAGGTTTTATTCTTGGCAACCCCATTTGACAAAACTTCTTTCAGTTGTATTTGTTTTTGCACCTTTTATTTCAGTGAGGCTATGAGTTTATTAGATGCGAATCCAACCCGAATCGTGCCTTTGTCAATTTCCATGGATCAAAACCGAGGTTGTAATAGATTTTCCAATTTTGGTCGTCTCTCGAGCGGGGATTGCAAGCTCACATCATCTCTGCTTTGCCTGAAAAAGTACTAGATGGTGTGATTCGACGCTCGAGCGTGAAGCCTATATGAATCACACAATTTTGAAGCCTCCGCTCGAGTGGGAATTCCCACGCTCGAGCGGACCGAGCGAACACAGATTCTTGGATTTCTATAAGGAATTGGTTTTCTTCCAAAACTAGGATTACTTTGGATTTCTATAAGTAGTTGGTTTTCTCCCAAAACTTAGATAACTTCTCCAGATCTTCTTTTTGGATTCTAAGGTTTATATATGAGGATATTTTGCTAGTTTTCTTTGATGTTTTGATTGGGTATTCAACTCATGATTTAAAGAGTATACATCAAAGGATTATTTGTTTGTTCTACATAAAAGAGAGAGTTGTTCTTCGGTGGATTCTAAAGAATTCGAGCCTGAAGCTTTGGTGGATTCCGGAGTGGCTCATCGTCAAGACTATTCCGAGGTGAAGACGGGGTTGGAAGAGACACATAGAGGTTGGTTCAATTCGGGCGTGGATTCGCTAGGTAATTGAGAGTGTACCAGTGTAATTCCTTTATATCTTCTTAGTGGTTGTTTTGTGGCTGTTGCCCATGGTTTTTTTTTATCACAATTGGAGGTGTCCAATTTTGGTTTTTCCACGTTAAAATCGTTGTGTCGATTTGTCTTGATTGTTTGATTAGGATTGTTTTATTGCTTAAAATTGATACATAATCACAAATCAACATCTAGAGGATTTCTAGATTTTTCAATTGGTATCAGAGCACTACCAGGATTGAATCTAGTGTTTGTCAAACTCCAAGAGTCACACACATACCTTTCTCTTGGGATCTATGCTTTTCACATAATATATCACTTTCTTTCATGGGGAATCTTTTACAGACTGTGCACATTGTGTCTACTAGTAATTGTGCTTCCTGGATAGTCTTGTGTGTTTTAAGGTACTAATCTGAAATTTCTTGCTTGCTCCTCTATATTATTTTTGTCGTTTTCTTCTTGTTCACTGTTTTCAGTGTTTGTGGTTGCTTTTAGTGAGGGGGAGTTTGGTTCATTTTGACTTGGGTTGGTTTATGATCTTGCTTTTATTGTTTGAGAGTTGTTTCAAGATAATCATGTCATATGTCTATTGCTTTTTCATATACTCTTGTGGGACTAATAGTTGTTTTGGAGATTGTGGCACTAATAACTGTTTTGCAGATCATGACCTTGAGAAAGAAGTTGGGTTTTGTTGGCTGTAATGGGTTGGGGTGTTTAGGATTTTATTTGTTAGGTGTGTTTTGTCACGGCATTGCCAAAGGGGGAGATTGTTGGGTTTTATTCTTGGTAACCCCGTTTGAGAAAACTCCTTTCAGTTGTATTTGTTTTCGCACTTTTATTTCAATGAGGCTTTGAGTTTGTTAGATGCGAATCCAACCCGAATCGTGCCTTTGTCAATTTCCATGGATCAAAATTGAGGTTGTAATAGGATCAAGTTTTCCAGATTTTCCAATTTTGGTCGTCCCGCTCGAGCGAGGAAAGTGACGCTCGAGCGGGGATTGCAAGCTCACAGCATCTCTGCTTCGCCTTGAAAAGTACTGGATGGTGTGATTCGACGCTCGAGCGTGGAAACTTCCGCTCGAGCGTGAAGCCTATATGAATCACACAATTTTGAAGCCTCTGCTCGAGCGGGAATTCCCACGCTCGAGCGGACCGCGCGAACACAGATTCTTGGATTTCGATAAGGAATTGGTTTTTTTCCAAAACTAGGATTACTTTGGATTTCTATAAGTAGTTGGTTTTCTCCCAAAACTTGGATAACTTCTCCAGATCTTCTTTTTGGATTCTAAGGTTTATATCTGGGGATATTTTGCTAGTTTTCTTTGATGTTTTGATTGAGTATTCAACTCATGGTTTAAAGAGTATATATTAAAGGATTATTTGTTTATTCTACATAAAAGAGAGAGTTGTTCTTTGGTGGATTCTGAAGAATTCGAGCTTGAAGTTTTAGTGGATTCCGGAGTGGCTCATCGTCAAGACAATTCCGAGGTGAAGACGAGGTTGGAAGAGACACATAGAGGTTTGTTCAATTTGGGCGTGGATTCGCTAGGTAATTGAGAGTATACCCGTGTAATTCCTTTATATCTTTTTAGTGGTTGTTTTGTGGTTGTTGCCCGTGGTTTTTTTATCACAATTGAAGGTGTCCAATTGTGGTTTTTTCACGTTAAAATCGTTGTGTCGATTTGTCTTGATTGTTTGATTGGGATTGTTTTATTGCTTAAAATTGATACATAATCACAAATCAACATCTAGAGGATTTCTAGATTTTTCAATTGGTATCAGAGCACTACTAGGATTGAATCTAGTGTTTGTCGAACTCCAAGAGTCACACACACACCTTTCTCATGGGACCTATGCTTTTCACATAATACATCACTTTCTTTCGTGAGGAATCTTCTACAGACCGTGCACATTGTGTTTACTAGTAATTGTGCTTCTTGGATAGTCTTGTGTGTTTTAAGGTACTAATCTGAAATTTTTTGCTTGCTCCACCATATTATTTTTGTCGTTTTCTTCTTGTTCACTGTTTTCAGTGTTTTTGTCTGTCTTTTACATTGGGGATTTTGGTTGGGGCTTTTGGTCTACATCTAGTGTCTTGTGTTACTGTGATCCTATTTTCTTTGCTGATTAGGCCCCTTACCATGCTGGCTGTATATGTGTTTGACTACTGTTTTCTTGGTCCTAGTACACATCACATTTACTCTGCTTCATACTTGCAATATTTGGTTCTCTTATGCTTACATTTTTGCATCATACGATATCTTTTATTACCCCATGTTGCTATATCACTGTGATACTAATGTTTTGTGGTTTCTTTGTTGGTTGTTGTTTGGTCTTGGGTTGGGGGTTGTTTGTTTTGGTTCTTTTATCTTGGTTTAGTAATGTCCACCTTCAAAAGACGAAAGTCTACTGCCTCTCACCCCACCTATAACACTGACCGCTTCCCACCGGCTGAAAATGCCAAATTATATAGAGAGTCTTATCCTGGTCGCTCCATTCACCTTGAACGAAATGTTCAACCCTCCACATTTGAGTCTATACCTATCCGTTCATTTTTTGAACCTCTGGGAGGGGATCATGTTCTTTTATTTTCTGGGTCTCAAAACCTCACTTGGGTGTGGGAATTTTATTGCAATATGGATGGTCTTGACAACATTGGACCATCTTTTAAGACATGGGTTAGATCCAAGGAAATCACTGCCACCACTGCTATTATCCATGAGATTTTAGGGATTAGTGACCGATTTCCTATCTTTTACCCTTTTCCAGTGCGCCCCACGTGTGATTTTGATGAGGTTGCTCAGACCCTTTGTGGTTTTCCTCGTTCTTGGCCTTCTGGTTCCCTGATAAAATAGAATGAACTTCTCCCACAATTTAGCTTACTCAACTTAATTGTGTGTGCCAATATCATTGTTACCACCCACAGCTCTGAGATTAACCAAGATTAAGGCTTTGTTCTTCAGTGTATCGCCCGAAACCGTCCCATTGATCTTGCCACCCTTATCATTCAAAAGATGGTTGCTGCTTTTGAGCGCAACAATCTTGGCCTACCCTATGGCTGTCTCATCAATTGGCTTTTAGTCAAATTTGCAGTCCCTACCTATGATGAGGACGAATTTGCTTCTCTTACACGCCCGTTTACCAAGAAGACTGTCTCCTAGAGTCAGTCTCACATTAGGGGGGTTCCTTCTGGTTCTGGTAGATCTGGTGCAGGTCCTAGTGCTACTACGGCCATAGCAGAGGAGGCCGAGTATGATGCTACTACTGGCGGAGATCTTGGTGAGGGGGAGCAGCACCCTCCAGTTCGTACAGTTTGTGGTCAGCTTTAGTTCCTCGAGTGCTCTGTTGGTTCTTGATTTGACCATCTTGAGGAGCAGACGGATATATTTGAGGCCAGACTCACAGATCTTGAGACCACGACCGATACCCGTTTCAGTGCCTTGGAGGCTTCTTCCCAGCGGATTGAGGATTCTGTGGCATAGTCTTCATCCCAATTGGCTCAGATCTTGACCTTGCTTCAGATGCAGTCTCCGCCTTCGGCTCCTTGATCTTTGATCTGTGCTCTTTTGTTTGTTCCCTCCCGGACAAAAAGGGGGAGTGGTCTTGGTGGTACAGTTTTTGGTATATCTTGTTGGTGTACATGGTACAGTTTTTGGTATATCTTGTTGGTGTACATGGTATTGGTACATGGTATAGTTTTTTTTACCTTTACTTCTATCCTTCTTTGGTACAGTTGGATTGTCATATGTTTTGGATGGTTTGTTTATGGATGGACTTGTCTTTTGTTATTTAATCCAGTTCCACATATTTTTGGTTGGCTTGTGTGTGGTTATTTTCTTTCAGGATAATTGTTCAAGAGCATGGATTTGAGATTTGGTTGTGAATGTTGGTTCATAGTTGGTGGTAAGAAAGAGCAAAAATAGAGTGCATCTACATCTCATGATACAAGAACACAAGGAAAGGGAGAACAAAAAATTCAACATAAGGATGGACTTCTCAATCTTCCTAGAGTTGGTAAGGTAAAAGAAAAGAAGGCACACCCTATTTTTATTTGTCATCATTGTGGTATGCATGGTCATATTCGTCCTTGTTGTTATAAGTTGCATGGGAGAGTGTATTTGCCTAGACCTAAAAATAAGATGTTGGAAGCCAAGTCGAGACAGGTTCCCATTGCAGAGGAAAGGAACCACAATGTCAAGACACCACCCAAGAACCGC